GGCCCCACGACCCCAAGAGCCCCAATCCAAAACAGAGGCAAACCCTAATCCTTAAATCCTTAATCCCTAATCCCTGAATCCTAAATTGCCCTAAATCCCGAATCCCTGAATTCCTACTCCCTGAATCCGTAAACCCTTGTAGTTGTAGTAACCCTAATAAACCTAATCCCTGAATCCCTAAACCCTTGCACTTGTAGTAACCCTAATAAACCTAATCCCTTTTTTGCGTCCGGTCTGCAGCGACCCTACCGGGAAAGACTTGCAACAACCGATACCGACCACCCACCACTTTAAGCGATGAGGCGACTCGTGTGCAAAAGCCAAGTGAATCCCTAAACCCTTGTAGTCTCAAGTCGGAGTGGCCCGGCTTGCGCCACCGGCCGCCGCGTTGCAGCAGAAAGCGTCCGGCTCGACACCTGCCGAGACCCCAACATTCCTGGGGAGGGGTTTAGGGGAGTTTAGGGTTTAGCGGTTTTTTGCCTCCTACATAGCAAGGACGGGTTGAGGGTTTAGAGCTTAGGGTTTGGGGGTTTAGGGGCTTAGAAGGGCTTTACTTAAGGATGCTATGATATTGGTTCCGCAGCAAGGCTTCTAAAAATCAGGGTTCTTATGAGGTTCGGTTGCTTTCTCGCAAAGGGTGATGTATCGCTTACTTGACCACCCCGTGCTTGGGATCCTTCTTTCATGTGAGGAACCCCTTTCTTTGCGGCCCCTTCTCCAGTATGCTGTGACTGAACGACTCTGCATTTTTGAAGCCGCTGCGGCCTTTTATTCGGCTTCTGAACTTCGGGTTGGTTAGTACTTGGGGAATGTGGGATTCCGGGGTGTTTCGTGTTGTGTGCTGTTTGCTGGTGGCTGGTGTTGGTGTTGGCGTCGTTGCTGTGGTTGTTGCTGTTGTTGCTGTTGCTGTTGTTGTTATCGTTATTGTTTATTGTTATTGTTGTGGTTATGGCTATGGTTATGGTCCATGGTTATTGTTATTGTTCTTGTTATTGTTCTTGTTATTGTTCTTATTGTTCTTATTGTT